CTGCTTAGAATTATTGGAACAAGATTCAGTAGTAAGTTTTAGAAGTGTAACCAATTACTTATGTCTTTGATTTCACATGGAAGATGGATAAGATGCATAACACCTCTCCTACCTGATTTTGGTCTTGGCTGATCTTTGAGCTCCACTCAGTCAGTGTTTTCTGGATGCAGTCTCGCACCTACAAAACATTTTTTCATGTTGAAGCGTGGGTATGTTCCAACCACACAAACACAACAGTACAGAGATGGGCAGGACAGACTCACAGCTGAACTAATGACACCACCCCACAGAAGATTCTTCCTTCATAGCTTCTAGCTGAAACTTGCTCAAACTCAAAATTTTTCTCTCCTCTTCCTCAAGAGTTTTAGCAGTAATACAAGTACTGTAGTTATTTCTCAGACCAATGCCATTTAAAAGGAAAGTACAATGCTAAGCAAGCAAGACCTAAGACCTGGGGTGGTTTGGGGCTTTTTGTGCAGAAATTCCTAAGTTACACAGCAGTCAGATAAGAGCGTAAGTGCCCTGACTCTGCAGAAATGAGACTTGACAATCAACCCCTAAATACTCATTGTATTAATTCCTTCTCTTTTTACATGCATACAACCCTTCCCCTTTACTGCCTACCTACTCCACTGAGCAAAACCACTAATACTTTTAAGTCCTCCATCACTGCAGAGGGAACCTACACATCCTATGCCACTCTTGCATTTTTCCTTCATCCAGAGATGCAAAATAAACTCGGCTAAGATTTTGATAATGACTTTTCTTGAACATAGTAAGACATAATTATTAAAGCAGCTAACTAATTTTATACAGTACCAGTGCTGCAGCTGTAGCTTCCCTCCGATCCATCCCAGGAGTTAAGCACAGGTACTGTCTGACTGCCACCTGCCACATGTAGGAGCACTTGCCCCAGCTGCTGCTTTACTTCACTTTCCACAGTGTATTTTATAACTGTGTGCACATCTACCTTGTGTACCAGTAAGCAGCCATTTCCCATGACATCCAACTCAGAGAGCTCTAATACCATGCACAAACTAGAAGTCAACATCCCTGCCTGGTATCAGATACAATACAGGAACAATATTTTGTGAACAGAAATACTATACATTCCTTCCATCATTTAAAACAGTATAAAAATCCCTGGACCCAAAAGGCAAGAATTGACCACCCCAGTAAATACCTAAGCACAATAACCCTTTAATAAAATAACTCTTAATCCTATTTTGAAACAATTTATATTGTTATCGTTTCCTTTCTGAGGGCAAGTGAGACAGTACTAAATTTTTATAGGCTGCTGCTTTGCAGCTGCCACAGGACACATTTCTATTGCGGTTCCTATGCACCCGCCTCCGACTCCCAAGCACACCACTCCCCTGCCCGCAGGCCATGTGCAAAGAGCAGTGATTCCACTGCTTTGATCAGCTTTTCCAAACACAGCTGCATCTCCTAACACTGGCATTCACAGTTTGCAAAATTTTAGCTTACATTCTGCCACTGAGAACTGACTACCCCAAAGAGAGGAGCTGATTGCAAATGATCCCATTTGTTTGCTTTTGGAAATACACCTACTCTGGAAAGCCAGTGGATTCCTCTGCAAACAACTGAATTTTAGTACCTTAACTATTAGTTATGCACGTTGGCCACTCTTTACTTAAGAGCCCTCCAAAAACTGCCCACACAAGGGTGCCCATCGTGACACAGCTATGTCTTTGTTACAGAATCCAGCCCTATTTCACACAGATCACAGAATGTTTAATAAACAACCAGGCCAAATAAAACGTTATGTGGTCACGTTACAACCACATGACAGCTCAACAAGAGTATGATGAATTCTTTCTTCCTGTTACATCATCCTCCCTTCCACCTTTCTTCCACTAGTGCATGATTAATATGCAACCAGCTAACTTCTAAGTTATCACTAGTGTGACTACATAGCAATAAACAGCCAAACCCATCGTTTTTCTCATTATTAAGTGACCATTCTGAGATTACTGTGCCATGACAAAACAGCAAATATGGTGGTTCTGAAGTTCATGGCCACATCATCTCCAGACATTTTATGAGAACTATTCTAAGTACTGACACACACCGCTAAAGGCAATACTTTTAAGGTGATAATTAAAAAGCTCTTTTCAACTTGTTAACAAAGAATGACAGCTCTCTGCTTCAAAGAAGACAACTGCTACTTTTCCCGAGATCTGCCTCTATGAAGAAATTAAATGAACTTGCATAATCTGTAATATAAGCTCGTAGCTATGCATATTTTTATCTAACTAGAAAAGTATAAGGGATCCCCTTTGCCATTACAGACAGCACTTAAATTTCATTCCCGGGATCAGAAGGCTGGGCTCGCTCCTTCTCAGGGCAAAGTGCTTCCGGGGCCCCGGCCTCCCCACAGGGCAGAACATAACGAACGCACGAAAACAAACAAGCGAAACTGTTTTTCCATTCCCATCTCCCGCCTCCCGAGGGCACCGGCAAGCGGATGGCTCGGGAGCCAGAGCCCCTCCTCGCCGTGACGGGCA